ACTTTTATTGGACTTCTTCCCAACACCAAACATCTGCCCATCACTTGAATTTTAGCCTATGTCGTATGGCAACTACAGTTCTTTTGACCTCCTCTGCCAACTTTGGTTATTCCAACCCCCGTTGCGAGATAATGATCTTCCGAACCTCCGTCGGAACCTCCGTCGCCCGCCGACTTCGATTCTTCTGGCATTCGTTGCCCGCAAACTATGGTCACTCTTATCAAATGAATAAATCAATGTTATTTGTTATTCAAAATACCACCGTGTAATGCACTCTATATAATGTATATTTGCTACATCAAACTAAAGCCTTCCCCCCAAGGATGGGCTTAATTTGTAATTGATTGCAAACACTAGTGCATTCATTCAAACTGGGCCATGCCCCTTGATTTTTTTCCCCTTTTCAGGGGTTTCCACGTAAAAACTCTGGTGTCTGTTAAGAACACTACACTATGTCTTTCATCTGCTTGTGTGTTGGATCTTCATATAATGCTAAGACGTTAAACTATATATTTATCTACCGTCATGAATATTCTTGGACGCAACAATACACTTAATAAATAATTAAATTATTATTTTAATTACCTCCTAAAATCTTTTTTAGCCTAAAAAGCTTTTGTGAGTTTATATTCTTTCTCATTTTTGTTCACCATAAAACTACGAAACATCAAAACTAAAAAGTTTTTTTCTATTTGTTTTGTATTTAATTATTCATGTAATGCGTTTATCAAACCTCAAAAGAAAAATTGGTTTCACTTTTGCGAGTATGATTACTAAAACCTACTCATTATTTGAATTGGAGATGTATTGGGAAAACTAATTTGGCCTCTCATAAATATAATAGAGATTGTTTGAGAAGAAATAGAGTCAAAATAGTTGTTAATGACGATAGGGAAACGGTGATTGAGCGATGATTGTCACACCACGGTATTCAAAATATTTAAAACATAAACATCATTATTTACAATGTATATTTAGCACTTCATTATTGAAACTTTTGATGAAAATGATGAGTTGCAACATAAGTCCATATGATGACTTATCTTTCTCATCTCTACCCACCCTTATTGTTGCCTCCAACACTACTGCCCTGCCCTCCCCCTTATGCATCTCTCCTTTCAAATGCAAAATAATAATAAAAAAAACTATGCTGCCTCCCCTTCTCCTCATCACATTCCTCTTTTTTCTCCTCTATCTTTCTCTCTACCATTCTATCTTTGATCCTTTCATTCTCTCCTAAGCCTCCTTAACATTCGTTCTAAACCTCTGCCTTCTCTATCTTTATATTTTACTCACTGTCGGTCTCATCGATGTCTTTCCCAACTTGCTAGAAAAAATTCAACCACGATTTCCATATTTCTTGGTCGCTCAAGAAGCCAGTGTCACAACATTGTTGGTGGAATGTGATATCTAAACGAGCTTTTGTCGTGATCCACCATCACATTGAGAGTTTCATTAAAGATGTGTTATATCTCATAAAGAATAAATTTGAGATGTTTAGATAAATCTCCCAATAATAAATGAGGTGGGCATATATAAAAATGTGGTCACTCAACGAATGTGTCACGTATATCACATTATTAAGAGTTTTATTAATGAAATATTATATTTCATAAATAATAAAGTTAAAATTTAAATATTAAAAAAAACTTATATTATCTAATAGCTGGAAAGCAAGGTTTTCAAAATCAGAGGTTAAAATTAAATCCGCTATATCTTAAAACCGTGGTTCAGCCGCTCGAACCGGCGGTTCGACCGCCGAACCACAGAATCGGCCCCGGTTTTTGCTAACCGACGGGTTCAGCTACAACGCCTTTTTAGCGAAATTGAGAAGATCATACGGCTGATATGCAAAGATGGTGATGCTTTATGCGAAAAAAAGGAATCCCTATTTCATTTGTCACATGCTTCGTTTCGTCTGTTCGCCTTTTCTTCTTTGGCTCTTCCCGACATTCCCATGTCGTGGTGTCTCCTTCTCGTTCGCGAAGCCGAAAGCCATCACCGAAGAGGCCTGCTCGTTCACGAAGACAGAAGGCAAATCTTGCTCGTTCTGATTTGTATCGTTTGTTTCTAAACTCTAAAGTAGTTTTTTTTTGTCAAAACCAGATACATGAATCATTGAATCAATAAATGTATTTTTTTTTTCATGTAGGTTTTTAATTTGATTTTCCTATTCTAAAATGTAATTTTTTTTGGAAGTTCAGCTTGTTCGGCGTATTTTCTTCAGTTTGGAACTTTGAACTTCTTCTCTGATTTTGGCATATCTTCTTCAGTTCGGTAAGACAGAAGCCACGGTTGGTTCAAATTTTAGTTTACAATTGATTTTACATTCCAATATGATTTTGTAATTGAACCTCCACTTTAATATGAACTTCAATCTAAGATTGAATCTAAATGTGCATCCTTTTCTGTAACTGCTAGTGAGTTTATTCACTTGATCTCTTATTTCCATATCCATGGAACCAAGCCAACTTAATTTTCTTGTGCTTGGCATTCATTGCAATTAGAGGGTATCAACATATCTGAAGGACATAAAGTTTTTGAATTCAGTTGTAGTGCTAGGCCTGATGTATGGAGTAAGCATTGTGTAATCTACATGGTTAAGGTTAAATGATAAGGGATCATTTGGGAATTTGCCTTCATTTGGTTTTGATCGTGTCTGTTGGGTCAATCCTCATGAGGAGCTAGCCATGTATTCATAGAGATGGTTGGCTGGGAGTAGAAGTGGGAAGAAGGATAGGAATGTTAGGAGGGTAGAACACTAGGTACTTTTTTAGCATAATACACTAGTGGATTGATACCCATTAGCCAAAAAGATCAAGCTGCTAAGGGAACACACTCATGCGCGCGCGTGCGCGCGCGCACACACACACACACTAAATTCTCACCTTACTTTTCATTTAACTTCATTATTTACTTTCATGTGCATCTAGTATTGTTAGGCTATTAGCTAATCTTATCCTAATCAAATTTAGACCTTATTTTTAACTTGAATTTTTTTCTTACGGAGATCAAGGGAAGCTTGTACCATCAAGACTACATCAAAATTCTAACCAATTATATTAGTACCAACGTTTAAGTCCACACTTGAATGTTCTTGTGAACCAAAAGAGCTTGAAACTTGTTTCTAAATCTGAATTTGACCTAACATGATCACCTTATGCTTCGTAAAATTATTAGTTTGCTTGTTTCTTCTCTTTATCTAACTCGTGAGAAAGTATCTATTAATAGTTATCAAATGTATGTTATTAGTACAGTTAAAAATAGGTATTATTTGAGAACATTTTAAATATCTTTTTAAATGATGATGTACATGATATTATCAAATTTTTTATAACAATTTTGTAGGTTGCAGTTTAGAAAAAGAAGTTATAATCCTTTGGACTATACAAGTATTGAACTTATTAACTTTTGGATCCTTGATGATGAATCAATTCTAGAATTGTATCTAGAAAATTTGGAAACATAAATTTATAAAGAAAATGCAATTCCTATAGATAAAGAACCAAATATAACATCAATTGGACAAATCCCAAGTGATGCAGAGCATTTTAAGCTTGAAGTATTCCTTAGGACACCTTATCTAGTTTGTTAGTATTAGCTTCTAGAATACTCTTTTAGCTTTATAAATATGAAGTATTGTAAAGGAAAGCTCATTGAAGAATATTAAGTCGTTTTAAGCTTTGAAGCTTTGTTTCTCTTCTTCCCTGGATTGGGAGCCAAAAATCCTTCTTGCAGGTCGAGTCTTTCGACGATCCACTACATCAGTTGGTATCAAAGCCTGGAGCCTGTGAAGATCGATGGACTGCGAAAGAAGGTCGGCTGTTGACGACAATCGAATCCACAAAATAAGATTGGCGGTCGATAACGATCGACGCCAAGGAAGGAGGGCTGTCGACAATGCTCGAAGCTGGATTGCCTTCTATCAAGCTCAAGCGAAGGAATCACTCGATTGTGTAGACAGAAACCTTGATTGGATTGAAGAAAATCTTCGAGCAATAAGGAAGATACGAATGTCGTCGGCAACCATACCGAGGTATTCGTCTTCTTCTTCGCTCCCCTCGTCCGCTCCATGCAAATGCCATCAGTCCTGCCATAATTACCCTCCGCTAGAGCTCCCTCTCCGATGGCATGATTCGCCGCCAAAGTATCCGCCGCTCGAGTGTCTGATGCGATGGCGAGATCCTCCGCCTCCACAGACTACTTCGCCTAAATCAAATCCGATCGCCCCACTTCTACTACAGCACGCAAACAACGAACCTACGCCTGGCGACGAGCGTGGTTCCGCGCCTGACGACGAGCTCGATTCAGTGCCTGGAGACAAGCACGATTCCGCGTCTGGTATACAATCCAGTTCTGTTGCCCGTGATTTTGCCTCCGATTCATCTAGCCTTCCCATAACGAACAAAGCAACTGCCGATCCCGCCTCTGCTGGGCTCATCGGAACACGCACAGAGCTACCGTCTTCCGTTCCTTTGGACTCGGAGATGCAAGATCCGACACTCACAACTGCTATGCCGATTCCATCTGACTACATCACCATGCCCTCCTGTGATGTCATTTCTTGGACTGCCATGCTAATGGCTTATGCTGATAATGGAGAGATCTCCAAAGCACGTGTGCCAAAGAGAAATGCTGCTTCATGGAACGCCATGATCTCAGCCTATGCAAGGGATCCAAAGTTACTTAAGGAGTCTTATGAGTTATTCTCTGCAATGCCTAACAAGAATAGCGTTACCTATGCTGCAATGATCACTGGTTTTTCCAGGGGAGGAATGCTTTTACAGGCTGAAGAAGTATAATGGAGGATGCCACCACGTTTGCAGGATCCGATTGGTTCGAATGCTTTGATTAGTGGGTATTTGAGAGTCGGTGAAATTGAAAAGGCTGTTCAAGTTTTCATAGGCATGGTTTTCAGGGATGTTTTTACTTGGAGCTCGATGGTTGATGGGTACTGGAAGAATGGGATGGTCTTGGAAGCAAGGTAGGCTTTTGAAGCAATGCTGGTGAAGAATGTAGTTTCTTGGACTGCTATGATACATGGTTATGCTAAAATTGGAGATTTAGAAGAAAGTTTGCAGCATTTCTCACAAATGAGGAAGGAAAATGTGAATGCTAATTCGACGACATTTGCAATTATGCTTGATGCTTGCGCTGAATTTGGCAGAAGAAGAGAAGGGACTCAGATTCATGGTCTGGTGATTGCAATGGGTTTTGAGCAGGATATCTTTTTAGCCAATACTTTGATTGTCATGTATTATAGGGTTGATAACATGTATGATGACAGGAAAATGTTAGATGCCATGAGCAGAAGGGATGCGGTTTCTTGGAATTCCTTAATTAATGGATACGTAGAACAGGATAAAATTGAAGAGGCCTGTGCACTTTTTTATTCCATTCCAGAGAAGGATGTTATTTCTTGGACTTCCATGGTGATGGGTTTCTCAAAAAGAGGGTGGACAGATGAGTCAATCAGTTTATTTGAATTGATGCCTCAAAAAGATGATGTTAGTTGGACTGCCATAATTTCAGGCCTTGTACATAATGGAAAGCTTGAAATTGCATGCCAGTGGTTCAGTAAAATGGTGAAAGAAGGGATCAAACTCAATCCTTTGGTGATAAGTAGCATGTTAAGTGCATTGGCTAGTTTGGCCATCTTAAAGGAAGGCATGCAGATGCACGCCTGTGTTGTGAAGATGGGATTAGATTCTAATATATTTATACTAAGCTCTTTAATCTCCATGTACTCAAAACGTGGAAATCTCAGTGAAGCTTGCCAAATTTTCTCTAGCATCAGAACCTCAAAAATTGTCACCATTAACTCGATGATAACAACATTTGCGCAACACAGTTTGGCACAAGAAGCATTTGATTTATTTAGAAAGATGCAGGGAGATGGTCAAATGCTCAATGAAATCACATTCCTTACAATACTCACAGCCTGTTCTCGTTCAGGTTTAGTTAAAGAAGGGAATAATTACTTCAATTCTATGAGGTCTGTTCATGGCATTGAACCGGGGCCTGATCACTACACCTGCATGGTTGATCTGTTTGGCCGTGCTGGTCTCCTGCAAGAGGCATTGAACTTGATCAACTCCATTCCTGATGGCCCCCATTCAGCAGCATGGGGGGCTCTGCTCAGTGCTACTGGGCAGCATTCAAATTGCAATCTGGCAAAGTTTGCATCTCATAAGTTTTTTGAGCTAGAACCAAAAAATGCAACGCCATATGCAGTTTTGTCAAAAAATTTTATGGCACTGCTGGGCTAAAGGAGGATGAGGAGGATCCACCAAATATGCAGATGGCTACGTCCGATTCCTTTGAGAACCAAGAAGATAGCATGGTTGGACCTTCCAAGCTGATCGCAGAGTTGACAAAGATAGGTGCAATTGGTACCCAGGGTATGCCAACTGTGCTTCAAGGCATTCATGAATGTCTTGAGATTATTGATTGGGCCACTCATAAGTTGGCTGCGGATGCGTTGGTTGTGCTTGCCTCTTATTCAGGTCCTTTGATTACTAATGAGACTTCTCCTATAATTGAGTCTCTTGAGGCTTGTTGTTTTGATAAGGTGAAGCCCGTGAGAGATAGCATGATGGAGGCATTGCAAGTTTGGAAAAAAATTTCAGACAAGGGTGATACTGCTATACCATAGGTTTCAATGGAGAGAAAAGTTGCTAATTTTGGAAATATTGAGAACAAAACCTTCGATCCAGGAATCTATCTTCTGCAACAACCTCTCTTTCAATAATGCATCTCGAAGGAGTATAGCCTTTTTTTTTACGCAAGGGGAGAATGATGCGAAGCATTTTAAGCTTGAAGTATTCCTTATGACACTTTATCTAGTTTGTTAGTATTAGCTTTTAGAATACTCTTTTAGCTTTACAAACATGAAGTATTGTAGAGGAAAGCTCATTGAAGAATATTAAGTCATTTTTAGCTTTGAAGCTTTGTTTCTCTTCTTCCCTGGATTGGGAGCCAAAAATCCTTCTTGCAAGTCGAGTCTTCTGACGATCCACTACATCACCAAGTAAGATTGTAAAATAAGTTAAATCTTCTGAGTGTAATATAAAATATAAATTTATTATTTCACATTAATGATTTACATATGAATACAACTTAGCTAATACATGTGATGAAGATGACATACTATGTGAGAATGCAGAAGCAGTTCTGATGCAAGATTTTGGTGAAAAGGGATTTGGGAATCCATCTTTTGATCTTACAAATTTTGTTGATGAATATTAGATTCATTAGGAGTGTTTTGCGTTTTAAGTTTTCATTATAAACAAGGTTTGACTCTAGGTTATGTTTGATCATGTTTAGTTTGTTCCTCCAACATTTATGAGTATGCTCTTTCATCATCCTTTTAGAAGTTTTCTTCACGAACTGGAAATAAATTAATATTGCTTACCTAATGTTTATTTAAATGTCTAAGGATCGCACTTCTATGGATTGTAGTGTTCTTTTAACAATGTTTAAGTCAGAGAGATTATGTTCTCATACTCATCCCATTCTATGGTTGACATTTCTTACGATTTGTTTTATTTACTTTTAAAATAAAATCTTAGAGGACCTTTTAATTTTGATATATTATGTCGTGCCTAGTTATTAAAGTCATCCCATTCTATGATTGTCATATATGAAATTGTTTTCTGATGGGAGAAATGAGCAAGTGAATAAGATATAGAATTTTGTTCAGGACAATTTTTTCATAAGAAATAAAACTTTTTTCTTTTATAGAATCTTGTTTAAAGCTTTATATTTCCCTTTTGATGAACTATATTAATATATTTCTGAATCATACCAGGAATCTAATTCTAAGGTAAAATTTGCATTTTTTACAATCTTAGTTCAAGTATAGCTGAACTAGATAGCAATACTTCATCCTTGTCATGCCCAGGTTGTGCATAGTTCCTCTTAAATCTGAACGTTTATCTTGACTAGGTGCAGCAAAGTTAGGTTTAGAGCGAATGTATTAGAATAAAATTTCTCATTCATTTTATAATTTTAATAATATGATTATTTATTACGTTATTCGGTTCGACCCCGACTCCACTGTGAGAACAATGAATCTCTCCTTCTTCCGATTCGTTATCCGATCCCATTTTCAGAACCTTGCTCAGAAGGTTGTGGCTCATGGATAGGAGAAATTATTCTGTGCGGAATCCGGTTATAGAGTTGTGTTCGAATGCCAGTAAAATCATTACATGTGGCGTGCTTACGTGGAAAATTAGGATATTCATTTGACTTCTTACCCGACCCGTTTGTCTTTTCAGACTTACTGCACATGAAGAGAAATCCGCAACAAATAAGCAGAAAATGCGCAACATATACGCAACAAATACTCAATAAATTCGTAACAAATACGCAATAAAATACTCAATCAATACGCACATTTTACGCAACGAATACGCAATAAATACTCAATCAATACGCAAGTCAAATAAATATCACGGACTTTTAACTTTTCATGTAAGCATCCGAACACAGCTCTATAACCAGATTCCGCACAGAATAATTTCTCCATGGATAGCAAGGCTGTCGTGCCGTTCCAGTCTTCTAGTTATGTTCCCAGTTTACCCTTCAAAGCACAAGAATTCAAACGTAGAACGCACTACTCACGATTGATATCATACCTTCATTTTTACGACTAAAGGGCTTTGTATCTGCCATCCCAAACTCTATGGAGACAGGAATACTATTCCTATTCAGCTCTTTGTGCGCCCCTCTAATGAAATTGGAGTGACCGTAGCAGTTCAGCAATCTTCCCTGGTTGCGTCCTCTTTTTTTTTTTTTCGATCTCCACCGTATGAACCACCATCCCTCGCTGTCTGACGGAGATCTAGGATTATAGGAACGTTGAGGTGCTGGTTAAGAGATGGGGCAGCAGTTGCTGATTTATAGCTTCGTGGCTCGAGGGACGGTGATATTGGCGGAGTACACGGAGTTCACCGGGAACTTCACGAGCATCGCCTCACAATGCCTACAGAAGCTTCCAGCGAGCAACAACAAGTTCACGTACAACTGCGATAACCACACCTTCAATTATCTTCTTGATGATGGATACAATAAGTTTTCGATCAATTTTATTTTTGATTTGGCTTGTTTTGTACGCTTAATTTGATTGATTAGGGGGTTTTGGGAGTTTTGTTTCCATTTCAAAGAGTGCGACGCAGCAGTAGATAGTTTTGTTGATTTGTTTTAGGGGTTGTTTGGTATCGGATTTACAGCGGGATTTAAGTCGGATTTACGCTAAATCCAGCCAAACAGTTTTTGTGCGGGCGTTAAATCCCGGGATTCGGTAAATCCCGAATTTAGGGATTTACGGCAAATATTAATAGAATTAGCTTAATTAATATAACTTAATATGTATGTATTATTAAATATTTAATTAATAGTGTAAATAATAATTAATGAATAATTTGTACTTAATATGTTATTAAATTTATAAAACATTAATTTTTATTTTTAATTATATATATTTTTTAATTTTTAATTATATTCTTCACATTTAAATTCCTAATTGCCATAAATCTTGAAATATGTTACCAAACAGTTTCTAAGGATTTAACATTTTACATACCAAACAGTTTTCACAATTTAACACATTTCGGATTTACTAAATTCGGATTTACAGGATTTACTAAATCCCACTAAAGTTAAATCCCACTTGTTGCCAAACAGCTCCTTAGAGGAGGACTTGAAGTCCAGCATTTTAGGGTTGGTATGTTGTTTCCTTGTTTATTAACCTTAAGATGTTGTCTACGGTTTGGACTCTGAGCGATATAGTTTTCTGATGCCTTCGGGATCTGCCTGTTTATGTATGTGAGATCCAGCTTTTGGGCTTGATGGGAGATTTTAATTTTCCGATCATGGTTGTAGAGTCACAATGAGTTTTATTTCATACTGCTTCCCGTCCTCAGGCTCGGTGGCTGAGGGTGATGAGGGCATCATATTTCGACATGTGTACCATCGCCGGGGACGACGATCGACGGCCCTGATTTAGAGCCTTTATCTGTGATGTTTTAGTTTTTATTAGTTTATTTCATGTTTCCATTTGTACCCCTATGAGGGATGTAGCACTTATTGTAGCCCAAGGGCATTTTCGACTTTATGCTTTTATTTTTCTGTCAGCCTATATATAAGGCTTGTATCATTGTATTTGAATTATTGTTGAATGAATGAAAATCTCCCATGTTTGTTCTCTTGGTGAGTGCATGAAGTTCTCTTGGTGAGTGCTTCCCCTTGAGATCTCTTAGTGAGTTCTCTAGTTATCTCGTTTTATTTATTTTGCTTTTGCATGATATCTTCCCCACTAGAGAATTCCTCAAATTTCCCTTCCCCTTGCTCTTGCCGCTGGCCTCTAGGGATTTCCCCACCGCCGGCCTAGCTCCATCCCGCCGCCCACCACCTCGCCGGCAAACACCTCTCATACGCATCCTCCCATATTTCTTTGCCAACCTCAAATTAGAGATTTGAAATTTCAAAATTTGAAATATTTCGTAATTTGGAAATCCAAATATGGAAAGTCTTCATGAGTAAAAAAATTTCAAATCAATTTAGTTTGGAGTTTTAAAATTCTTGCCACGTCATCCAATCAACCACTAAATCCCCCTTTCCCCTCCACAAATTGCTCTCCCTCCTCAAGCATGCCGCCGGCCCCATGATGCCCTCCCCCTTTAATTATTTCATTAATGCTCCTAATTCTAATTTGAAATTCAAATTAGGAGTCATTAATTTTCCCTCCCATCATAACAAAACTGAAATATTTCAGTTTATTCTCCTCCTCTCCCTCATCCTATACCGCCGGCTTCCCCCCTCTCTCTTCCCCATTAATTCCCAATTAAGGAATTAATTGCTCTCTCTTGGGAATTCAAATTTCCCCTCCCAAACTTCCCAAAACCTGAAATTTCTCTCAATTTTATTTTATTTCCTGCACCCATCCCTCCTCCCCTCCACACCAACCGCCGACCTCCCATCCCTGCTCCTACCCGCCGCCCCACCTCTCCTCTTTGGAGCCGTAGGCGTGGCGACCAACCTTCTATCCCTCAAATGATGCATGGAGGTTCCCGAGTGGAATTTCGGATTTGAATACGACGATCACGGATGAGTGGACATCCTCCGATCTCCTTTCTTTGACGTGGATTCGACTTCGACGACACTGTCGAGGAGTATTTGGCCCGGATCGTACCCACTCTAATAGAGACCGTCGACGATCATTTTTCAGTTTACACTTGGATCATTGAAGGGCGTCGTCTTCCACCACCTCTACGACCCGCGCCGACCTCTTCCTCCCTACGGATCTACGGCACCCTCGCCCTAGGAGTGGTCTCATCCATCGTGTGGTTCTTCTTCTCCCAACAAGCCTAGGAGTAGGTAAATGAGAGCGGCCTCAAGGTGAGACAATCGCTTTGTTAACCTTGGGATTCTAGTTGGTCTCTTCATTTGCTTTACGTTTATTAAAGTTGTTATTTTCTTGATCTTGCTAATTTAGGTGTAAGTGCTTGCCTAACCGTAGTTAACAACTAAGATTTCCGAAAAGCTTGAATCGAGAATAAGATTGAATTTGCAATTGTCATTACTTGAATAATCTTTTTTTCTAAATCTCTAAATTCAATACCTGGATTTACATCAGAGGGCTTTGGCACGAGC